TTTGGGTCCGAGTTGACCTGATCCCCTGTAATGTACTTCCAGTTCCAGGGTTTATACAAACCTCATAAATAGCCATATACTACTACTGTACTAGTGACTAGTCCCAGTAACTTGGACCCTACAAATCATAGGGCTGAGTCAAATCGAATAATTTACTATTCGAATATTCGACCTTCAGTTGATTTTATATCTGAATATTCGGTCTCACCGACCGGCAGATTGTTGTACCAAACCGTGTACAAAATCAGTTGCAAAAACCAATAACACACACAATTGTACATTATGATCAATATAATATCTTCCCATGTCTAGGAGTATCTCCAGCCACGATTTAGCAAAAAAATTAGAAAATTTCTGTTCCTTTTAAATTGTTTAATGAATAAGTTCCTTTTAAATCGTAAGATTTCTGATGCGTTTCATTTGATTCTGCTTGAAACAAGCCTCCACAGTGCAATTTTTCTCATTCATAACAAAAGAAATTTTCCCTTCCTTTTCGTTAATTTTGCATTTGAATATTCAAATTTGAAAAATACTATTTGAATATTTGACAATCAATCAAATATTCGGTTGTTCGGATATTTGGCACAGCCGTAACAAATTGCCTTTTTTATAACAGTTGGACATGGTTGCGTGATGGTACAGTAAGGTCCAAGTACCTTCCATAGGCTTTTGTTTCCATGAATTCATTTCTCTAAAGTAGCTTGTACCCTCAGTCAAAATCCTCCGAATTCACCTTTGAAACTGTTCTTGAAATGTCTAATGTGCCTGTCTGTGGATAAAGTGAGAATCGAAGATTCCAATAATGATAATATATGGTTTACTCACATACATGAATGGGAAGAAAAGAGAAATTTCCCCGTTAAATCGGAAATGCTCTTGTCAACGAGTTTGAAGACGCCATCTCTCCTTAAAATTGTGATTTGAACTGTAGGTTGATGTCCTGTTGACGACTTTACAGCGCGCCAGCCTAGTGGACCATTCACAGTAAGCATGCTGTGTTGGCACACACCCGCCGACGACTGTTTCCTGAGCAGCATAATGTTCAGTATACAGTTTCGATATGGTCACAGCCACCAAACCAAATTTGGGATCATGCCCCAAATACTCTTGAGGATCCGGCTTTTTGAATAAATAATGTCATTTTTTCCCCAGCATTTCATCATTTACAGACGGTGGGTTTGTTAATCCAGCTACGGTAATAAAACATTTTTGTCTTCCCAGACATAATCCATAGCCCTTGAGCGGAGCTTTATACAAGGATATACATGTACATGTATATTGTGGCAGTCCAAGTGCATATAGTCTGTTTTTTCCAGTCTTAAAACCTGTCATCGTAAAACTTTCTGCCAAGTTCATCACAGAGAATGGAAAGCAGGTGCTGCCTGTGGCTAGTCACTGTAAAAATTCATGCACACGTACCTGTAATTTAATAAAACACTCACCATCTTTGCATTTCCTGCAACATGTACTAGGTTTGAAAATGTATTCTGGGCATAAAAACACTTTGCAGTATTTGACTAAATATACAATTACTTGAAGAAGTAGGGAACTTGACCATATTTACCCTAAAAGTTATCAAAGAAACCGTGAAAAACTGGCATGTAATTCTAACTGTAGCCTATCCATTTCCAGACTTTGCCAATGCATAGATGGTGTTGTTAATACATGTTCGTCAGAATTTATCCCACATAAATTCTGTGCCCCTCCCCAAAACTCTGCCCCGCACAACTTGTAGTAAAATAAACACTTCAGACAAAAAGCACCTACATATAGCTCAATCTAACTCCCCATTCTGTCTGTTTGTTTATTTACTTGATGCAGGTATGGTAGATTTGATATGTGTAGTTGCCTCCTGGGGGCGTGCTGCTGATGCAAGTTCATAAGGGGATGCTGGTAAACAGGTAGGGTATAATATTTATACCCCTCGTTCTGGATGTCTTGCCAGCCCTCCAGAAAACAGAAATGAAATGTACATTATGCTGCAAGACAGATGTTACCAAAAATAATGTAATGTTGATATTTTGTTTTTCAACCTTCTATGTCCATGCAACCAGACAATAACAGAATTGGATTACAAGTGCGTAGGAGTTTGTTTTCAATGAAAAAGTTTGTTTGGCCCACTCCTTTTTACATATACTTGTACATAAGCCTCTGTACAAAAACTTGAGAGCAAATTACTGAATTCTTTCACTATTTAGCACTTAAAATTGGCTCACCCTGGAAGGTATTGTTAGGCCAACTGAGTGACAAAGATACATGTAGGTTACCGGTGGCTGAGAATCAGAACGATGTCATGTAAAATTTTAAAAATTCAATCTGCAGTTCTTAACAAAACACAATCCATTACAGAATCAAATGCAGACGTTTGAAATCGGTTAAAATTCAATAAGGTTCATGAAGCATGTGAGCCTGAATAATTCCTTGACAAAGAGAAAGAGAGGGAGACTTCTTTAAAAGCAAAAACACATGGTCTTGAAGTCTTGAAGTGGCCTTGCTGAGCAATATCGTTTCTGGGCACAATAAATTTTCAAGATCTCCAAAAAGAGGGCCCCAATTTTGCATACATAAATGTATGTAATAACCATAGTACTAGTATATTTATGCATCATTGATTTGTGTCCATTTTTAATAGAGCGGGTGTGATGGTGTTTTACACATTTGCCATACAGAAAGCATTGGACCTTGCTGCCAGTATTAGATCATTATGTATGGCCTGGAGAATATGAAAGTCGAATTCCACCACAAATTTCCACCAAAGTATTTATATGGAAGCTTTGCAGTAACACTGTTCTTTGAGTCATGTGGTTCTAAGAAGAAAAGTTTGGTTGAGTCAACTTGAAGTTTCAAGCAGTGTCCATGCCCTGTTCGCCATCAGGCGATGAACGAGACAGATTTCCTCTCCATGAAATTCATTTGAATTTATATTAGGGTCCGAGGTGTTTTTCCCCCTTTTTTGCAGCCATGGTTAATGACACATTACCACATCAGTTTGTTGCCAGTATTCGACATCAATGTTACCATAGTGACAGTGAGACAGGACAGACACGAGGCACCTTTCAAAATGTATGGCTGTTCTTCGTCTTGTCATTAATGTAGTAATTGTCAATTACTGTCAGAATGCATCACTTGAGTTGGGATTTGGAGACAGGTTCACTGATGTAGAACATTTTGTACAGTGTACTCAGCTGCTGTTATAATTGCCAGAACAAGTACAAGTAATCGTTCAACCACTGTGAGTGTTCTTTTAATGAGTCTTCTGACTAGCACCTTTGTTCAAAAAAATCTCATGTTTGTTCGCAGAATTCTTATAATGATAACACAGAAGGAATTAAATGTGGACAAACTTAACGTACAGTGTACGTCATCGGCAGCACTGGCAGGGGAAGTGAGTGGGTGGGGGAGCAGGGTGTCAGTGTCCCCCTCCACTTTTTCAGTGCCCCTCCCCTTTTTGCAGGTCCTATTATGGGATGTGGCTTAATGGATCAGCTTATTAATGGCTTATGGTCTTGCAACTGCATGGGTCTCCACTTTAAAAATTGTTCGGCCACCATTGATCAGTTGATTGGCAGTGAAATGGTACTTGCGATATATGCAAAAACAGTATTCCACTTCCAATCCATGGATGTGTGTACAGGAATACTATGTACCGGGATACTTGTCAGTTGCACGATTGCATGATATTTTTGTGGGCCTACAGTGTTCGTTGCCCCAAATGTTTTCTTTAATAGTTGATTGCATGAAGCAAGAATTTCTGCCTGGTCATGCACAGACCCCATCCTGTTTGAAATAGGAGTTCCTTTGAGAGTAATATGAAGACAGTGATAAATCAGTTGCAATAGCACACGCTTGTACAAGACATACATGTCCGTGTACAGTTTCAGAGTTGTGTTTTCAAGTTTTGAAAAGACATCTTACATGATGTTTATCATGTTTCCATACTGAAGTTTATTACCAGTTCAGACTTCCTGGTTTGCCCATTTCAAGTGGTCGTATTGATTCGACACGATGCACATGCATGCTGGAGATAACGAAGTTGAGGAAACTTTGTATTGTTTTTATGTCTTAAGTATTTACACTAATGTTATGCAGACATAAATACTGGTACATAATATCAGTGTCAGTGTTTCCATGTGTATCGTAGATTGTTCAGGTTATAAAATACACGTTCTTGTGATTAATCAAATTTGTACCCTTCAAAGAGTATTGTGGCCAAAAGAATCATTTCAACTGTGTTGTCCCTGAAGAGATGTCATTTACAGTATAAAATGGCTTGGAAATGATTTCTGTAATATGGGAAATACATGTACATGTGTACATGTAATTACATGTACATTTGTACATGTACATGTAATGTACATGTACAATGTACATGTACACTGTAGCGTTATCTGTGTACAGCATGCCAAAATGTGACTGGATGTCTCCTAAATTAATCTTCAAAAATTACTGATTTGGTATCAACTGCAAGCCTATTACTGAAAGTTTTACTTGAAGCTTGTGTTTATTGCAGAACTGTACTCAATTAAGTAGTGAAACTCATTTTTAGTGGAAGTTCTATGTACAGTGTATCTTGCAAGTGTGCCCAATGCAGTCAATGAATCGATATCCTAAGTTATCGCACAGCTGTTTTGTTTCTTCAGTGCTTTGGAATTTCTATCTATATCTAAAGTTGATAGAAACTGCTGCTTATTTCAGAAGGCAACGGTTTTTTAATTACATGTAATTGTGCAATGAGTTTGTTTCAGAAAAGAACTTTTCAACATATACCTCAGTGAATTTGTAACAAGGTTCGAATTTTTTACTTCTGACCATACGCATAAACCACTGTGAACTACATGAATATGTTTTTCTTAAATACATATCGGTATTCATGTAGTGAAATTTTCATGTTTGTTTGCTGATGGAAAATTAAATAGGTTTTAGCATCGCAAAACACAACACAACCCCGTTCAAATAGTATCTTCATTCTGTATAGTTCTTATAAATGATCCCATGTGTTGAATGGTGTTAAATGCCGTAAACGTAGCATTGTCATTGCTCTGGTACATCCTTTGGGACAGAATGTAAAAGCAGTTGTCTTGTAAATGTAATCAAGTTTATCTCTGCAAAGAATTTTAGGATTTGAATTATACCTTCAGTTTAGAGAAGACAACAATCTAAGCTCCAATTTGATACCAAAACTACAATCTCTGAAAAATGCTTTGGTGAGAAATACTGTATGTCTTATTTTAGGTTGCATTTTTTGTGGGGGAGAGGATTGATATATGAATGCAATGTGATGTTAACTTCAGAACTGCAGGGTAAGGACATTGTACTGTTCTGAACAATGTAAGGAAGTGGATTGCATTCTCCAGTGGGAAATATTTTCTTACTTATTTCCTTTAAAACCTGTATATTGTACTTTTCCGACCTAACGTTGGCCTTGATCAGTTTATTTAACTTATTGTAAACAGCCATATTGAGCTTCAAATGTGTGCGACATGGAGTGAACCTTTAGGAGGGTGGCTTCATTTGAACAGTCCAGCAAGAAATTTAACCTGAGGAGCCCCCCACCAGAACACCCACAGAAAACCCTATAGAAGTGCTTACCATTTCATTTCATTTATATACATATGCTTTGCAGGATTAAAACACAGAAAATTTACACAGTTTACAAAATTTTAAAAAAATGTAAGCTCAAAAATATGGTTTTAGTCAAGAATCTACATTGTTAAGAAGAAAAATACAAACAAACAACCCAACACAAATACAGTAACACACAAACTTAAAAAACAGCAGCACAAGCAACAACACCACACCCACAAAGACACAAAACACATGTAACACCCCTGCAGGATTGCAAAAGAAAGCAAACTCAATTACTATCGAGTTGGTCTCCTGGTGCTACAAACTGACCAAAAACAAAGCAATACAAAACAAAAAGGATTGCAAACAGGAAAACAGGAAACGAACAAACAACATATTATATTACCATGATAATCAACAAAACTCACAACACACAAACAGACAAACCAACACCCCAACATCCCAACAAACAAACAAACACCCTAACACCCCAACAAACAAACAAACAAACAAACACCCCAACAAACACCCCCCCAACACCCCAACAAACAAACAAGCAAGCAAGCAAGCACAGGGTAGTAATTAATCCCTGTCTCATTTAAGTGAGCACCTACCCTGACTGCAAATAGCACACACACATGTACTAAAATACAACGCAAAAACAAAAACATCAACAGCAACAACCACAAGAACAACAATGAAAACAAACTTGCAAACAATACAAATACGAAAAAAATATTAACCAAGCAATGGTTACAGCATCATACAAAAATACATACATTACAACATTACACAGTTTACCAGGTCTCCCAGAAGATAATATATTGCACATGAGCATGAAAATTGAAAGATAGACCAGACTGATTTACTGGTACAAGTAAGAATGGCAGTTTTCAACCAAATTCATCACAAATTGTTCAACCCCCCATCACCAAAATGAGTTAAACTTGTATCAATAAACTCTACGCAGTTTCCGTAAGAGTAACTCGTGAACCAGGCATTAATAGATGTTTCCGAAGCGAGTTTATGAATGAGGATAAACCAAAAACAAGTGTATCTTTGACACACCTTGGCAATGACTCCTATAATCTAGGAAATCTGTGAAAAAGAGAATGATGAGCAGCTTTAGCCCTCATCCTCTAGTGGTGAAATTGCACACTATCAGTATGTCTAGGATTAACAGCAAGGTAATCACCAATGGGAATGTTGAATTTGTTGTACAAACATTTTAAACACAACTGAGAGAAAATGAAGTCTATTAAAAAAAATTTTAAAGAGGTAAATCTAACCAAATACACCTATCAGTATAATCTGTTTTATTGTCAAGGATATTAGT